TTCAGTACCTGTCAGGCAGCTAAGAAAATAGAGCCAGGCTCTTCATTGTGGTGGATGGTGGGAAAAGGAGAGGCAAGGGAAAAATGGAACGAACGTTCAGGCAGGAGATGAGGACCATGAGGTCATAACCATGAGGTCACTACACACTGGAAGAGTTATCTTGAGAGGCTCTGCAACCCAGACCCTTGGAGGTTTCCAAGCCTCCTTTCCCCCTACATATGGTCTCCCAACATTGAACAAAACGCTCTGGCTCAGGCAAGAATGAAGCAAAAGCCTATGGCACCAACACGAGCTCTTCCTCCCCTGGCCCTTCACTTCTCTGTGAGAGGTGTCTGCCACCAATCCCACACTTCTTTCTTCCTCAGCCTTTGCAGCTGCATGTGCCTGGCCTGCTCACTTGACTTTGCAACCATCACCTTTGTATTTAAGGCCCAACACATATCTTGTCACGCCCACTGTAAGCTGGCACCCACCCCGCAACTGGAGCCCACCTGGCCACAGGGGCAGGGAGAGGCCAGGCCCACTCTGCTTGAACTGGGCACAGCTTTTTCCTGGGAACGTCCCCAAGGAGCTCTCCTCACGTGTGTCAGGCTGGCCTGGCACGGGTGGCACAGGGTCAAGGGCTGCTGGGTCAGGGCTGAAGTAGCTCAGCTGGGAGAGCGTTAGACTGAAGATCTAAAGGTCCCTGGTTCAACCATGGGTTTCAGCAATGCTTTTCTCCCTTAGGGTCTTGCAGAGCCCGTCTGCCTTTGTCCATCCTGCCCTGGCCCTCCTCGCTCCTTCCCCTCTTGCCAGAGCACTGCCCGTGTGCTGTAGCTGCACATCTACAGGTTAGAAGGAGCCTTCCTCTTGCACCACAAGCCCCCAGCCTTCCGCTGGGCAGGACTCTCCACTCAGTGTGTCTTTGGGGTGTTCTCCAGCTGGGTCTCCTTCCCTGCTCCACAGGGATCGGGATCTCTCCACTCAGGGGTCTCTGCAAAGACTGTCTCTCTCCTCATGGTCATTCTCACTGGTGCACAGACTGCTCCCCTCCTCACACACATCCTTCACCTCAACCTCAGTTCCCAGACCAGGGCACACTGCCCACAGGGAGGCCATCGTCTCCGCAGTCCCAGGGAGAGGCACTCCTTGCAGCTGAGCAGCACAATTGTCCCATGTTTACTACCACGAAGATACCACCCCTGCATGTGGTCAGGCTCTCAGCCTTGGAGTTAACAGCTGCCCGTGCTCAGCACCCTGCCACGGAGACCCCAGCCAGTGCTGTCCCAGGGCACTGCTTTGCTGTCAGGACAGGCCTCAGCACTGGAGGAGTGGGGAGGTCCCTGAGCCCAACCCACACCCGCAGCCCCAGGGAGATGGAAGCCTGCTGTCCACCTCACCTCCTGGGATGCTGGTGGGAGGAGTGGTGCAGGGCAAGGCCCAGTGACTAGAGGAGGGGTTATGGGATTTCTGCCCCTGTGTGCCCCCACCACACACCCTGGGATGTCATCAGAGCCTGGGGGCACCTCGCCCTGTTGCACTGCTCCTCCTTGGGAACAGGGAGCCCAAACTCAGAGAAATAAGGCTGCTCTCCCATGGGCTTTCCACATCTGAGCTCTGCCCAGTGTGGGGCAGCGGTGCTGAGGGCTGGGGTCTCACTGCGACCCCCCTCAGGTAGATCATCAGGAGCTGCAGGAGCAGACACAGATCTGGGGCACAGTGGCAATCCTGCTTTGATGCAGAGAAGGGACCCATCTGGGAGGGCCATCCTATTAGGTCCCAAAATGCATGAAACAGGTTCTTTCTGCTCAGGGGTGCTGCCCCCTCAAGCACACCCACGCCTGGGGCTTATTTCCTCAAGGAGAAAGAGGCAAACCTCTACCAGGTGCCAGATTATGGGAAAAATATTACACCTGTGGGAGGGCAGAGCTGGTGGGGCAGTCACACCGGACAGGCACTGGGCTCTTCTCCCCAGTTCCCACTTGGGGCACCTGGAGTGTGCAGATCAGTGTCCATACTGTCCAGAGGCCCCCACCATCCCGTGTTCAGAAGATAACACTCCCCTCTTCTTTACTTCACCTTTATACCTTATTTCTCTGAGATGCAGGGCTGGAGCTTATCCCAGTGGGAGTTGTCCAGGCTGTGTTTGCAATGCCCATGGATGTCACGCATCATTGTGGGGGTCTTGCCCTGGGAACACTGCTCTCCCATGGGGGCTGCCAGCAGGAAGGCTCTCAGGTGTGGGGCAGAGGGATGTGTGAACCTCGGCTCCCCCCAGGTGCCCCCAGGGTCAGCCAGGGGTGGAGGAGCTCCCAGCAGGGAATGGGGCAACACTGCTATAGCAGAAGATGTTGGCAACGTCTGCCTCCTCTCCACTTCTGCTCCAGGGCCAGATCCTGCTGTTTGCAGCACTATGGAGCTGCAGCTACTCCCCACAGGCAATCCTGCCACACACCCAACACACCTTCCAGCCTGCAGCAGAGAAGCCCATTGGTGAAGAGCCGGTGGAGTGCGGAGACCCACCAGCGGGAACAGGGAGGGCAGTTGGGCAGTTTGGGCGCCAGGTCCTGCCCAGGTGCCAAACTCTTCTCCCAGCCTGGCTTCTGCACAAGTTTCTGTGCCGTGGGTGCTGGGGCAGGTGAAACCCCAGCTGAGGAGAGAGGGACCCTGGCTCAGCTCCCAGCAGCACCTGTTTTAGTGGAGGGACACAAAATCTCCACTGCCATGGAAATGTGCCCACATGAGCATCCTCCCAGATGGGTCCTTCTCCAGGCCAGGGGCTGGACACGCTTTTGGCTGCCGCACGCGTCTTGTGGGGAAGCTTTCTCCAACCCCCTGGCCCTCTAACAGCGCTGAGGGAACGGTGCCCTCATCCTCGGTGCTCCCAGCCCTCACGTACCTGCCCACAAGTACTGCCCCGCACACAACCCAAACTGACACCTGGCAAGGCAGCAGGGGGGCAGGGGTGGGAGCTGCAGGGGAGCAGGAGGAGGGTTTCCCAGGGCTGCTCTGGGTCTGCAAGGCAGGAGGAACAGCCCATGGAGACTGGGGTCCTGGCAGAGCATGAGGAGAGAGAATCCCAGCCACGTGTTTCCCAGGAGGTGGCTCTGCACCCTGTCCCACGGCAGTGGGGAGCAGAGCTGCCTCCCAAGCATTGTGGGAAGTAATCCGCGGGCCATGATCCCACCTGGGGCTGGCTGGGGTTTTCAGGGACCTGCGGTCACCTTAGTGCTCGCTTCTGTGAGACAAAAGCCCAGGGCTCACCCTGACATGGCAGCTCTGTCGTGGCCTCTGCATGGTGGGATCAGTGTGGCCCAGGCAGGGCCTGGGGAAAGAGCAGCTGGAACCCTTGGGGGGAAAATGGGTGCTCCCACTGGGGTGCATCATGGGACCTATCAGAGAGTCACTTTGATTAGAAACTGCCTGTGGGCAGCAGGATGGATGTCTCTCACCAAGATTATTCCCCAGGGACCATGGCCTCACGCAGCCCCACAGGCTGACCCTGAGCCTGCTGTCCCTGAGACGTGTCCCTTCCTTGCCATGGTGTCTCTGTTCTCTGCTCCCCCTGACCAGCCTCAGGGAGATGCCCTGACACCTGGTAGGGAAGCATCAGCTCTGGGTCAAAGCCCCCAGAGGCTTTTAATAAGCAAATATAAGAATGCACAGCATAAAAATGGGAATAAAAACGGAGGAAACTCCCAGCAGTTTCTGCTGCCCATGGCTCAAGGGAGACAGTCCCCTGGTGCTCGCGGCTCTCCCAGCTGCACAGACCTCTCCTCCCTCCCGGCTGCACCCAGCTGTGCAGCAGGGATGGGCTCTCCTGGCCTGGGGCTCAGGGACTGCTGTGCACCAAGCTCGGGTGTCACAGCCTTTGCGTCCTCACAGGGAAGTGCCACAGGCACCTCTTCAGCATCATCATAGCCCATGCTCCCGGGGACAGGGACGAGGTGTCTCCTTCAGCTCCAGGGACGTCGGCACTTCTCCAGGAGCGCAGGCTGCCCCCTGCAAGCAGCAAGGTCGGACGTTTCAGTTCACCCATGGGGTCTGTACACCACCACCCTCCCTGCTCCTCACCACATTCAGCTCCTTCTCCCACCCCCGGGCCTTTCAAGGAAAACTCCCATGCCAGGTTTCCCTTCCCTGCAGGTTTGGGTGTCAGTAGGGTAGTGACTTGAGGGGCACCAGGGATGGCACCCTAGGAACAGGCGCTCTCTTTCCCTCTCACCTCCAGGTGCAGCCCTGGGCCCTGCTCCCTCCTCTGGCATCCTGGGCATTTCCCACTCTCCCTGCCCAGGCACATCATCCTCCCCCGCATCAGGAACCTCCCTGGCATCATCGTAGCCATCTGCTGGGTCACCTCCGGGCAGGACAAGGACGTCTGAAAGGAGAGGGGAGTTGGTGACAGTGAGAAGATCCGTCCTGCAGAGCAGAGGATGGGAGGATGTGCAGGGACACAGAGCGCAGACACTGGGCTTGGCAGAACCACAAGAGATGCCCATGTCTCCCCTTCTCCGATGGTGACACTCAGGGACACCTCTGTCCACCCCATGTCTGCAGGGAGATCAACCCCTTCCTGCCTCCGTTACCTGGTGCTGATCCCAGACCTTTCTCCTCCTCACTGACCCCAGGGTGGGGCTGCAGCTGGGTCAGGGACTCCTCTGAATAGGAGCCTGGAGAGATGCACAGCGGGTGTTATGGAGCAAGCCCCACTGACGTGGTTCACGGTCAGCGCTGCTGGGGAAGGGGGACCCACAGAGCTGGGGCTTGTGGGGAGGAGGCTGGGAATTCACCCTGCTCCCCCGGGACAAACCCTGTCTCAAAGGAGCTTCCAGAGCTGGCCCAGGACAGCCCCTTCCCTCGCTCCTCGGGTGTCTCATGGGGTGCAGGGGCAGGAAGAGAGGGGCTGTCCAGCTGGGACAGTCAAAGCTGACTGGGAGAAAGCTTCTCTCCTGGGATCAGGACCTGGATGCTCTCCCCACAGCTCCCACAGCCCCAGCCACAGGGACCACAGGCTGGGGGCTTCAGGGGTCAGCTCTCGGTTGGGGCCAGAGGAAAGGGTCCTGCGGATGTGCCTCCAGGGAAGACCCACACCCACCTGAGCGATCAAACTTGGCCCGTTTCTCCCACGCTGGGCTGTACCCGATCTCCTCGTACACAGCCTCGGGGAAGGGCTCCTGGGCTCTGCTGGAGCCTGGGACAGAGGCAGGGCTGGCACAGGGACAGGCAGAGGGGCAAAGGGACCCCACTGTGCTCCCCCAAAACGGTTCCATGTGCCACCTCAGGACTGGTCCAACAGCACAGCCCCACTGCACTGTCCAGGCACAGCTGCCACATCCCCAGTGAGGGCAGCATTGGTGTGAAGATTATCTGGGGCAGCATCACCCTCACATCATCCCTTTGGAGACAGCGCTCATGCCCCTCTGGCCTGTGTGCCATGTCCCCCTTGTCTCACCCTGGATATGTTCCCACATTTCCTCTCCACCTGGAGCTTGCCCCTACCTGCCCCTGTCCCACCAGGGGGTGGGCAGGGCTGGGCAGGGGGACAGCCTGGGGGCCTGACACCACGGTGATGGACCCTGCTGCCCCACACTCCTCCTAGCACCTCTCTTGCCCCAGAGCCCCCTCCAGCACTACCGAGAGCACTGCCAGCCTTGGCCATCCCCTCTCTGCCATTTCTCTCCTCACCCATGGCTAACTGCCCCCACCTCAGGGCTCTCTCCACCCCTTGTGCTGGTGCCCCACAGCCAGGCACAACGGGGAAGCACGAGGCAGGTAGCAGCACACAGTCTCACCCTCCCGCTCTGCCTGTGCCCCTTGCTGACACCCCCGCAGCACCCCACAGCCCTGCCAGGAGGTATCTCCCCCAGCACCTCTGGGCAAGGACCCACCTCTGCGTCCAGCCCTGGCGCTCAGCACTTGTCCAGCCAGGAGGGCCAGGAGCAGGCAGACAAGGGTCCCCAGGATGATGCACATGATGACGGGCACTGAGACTCTCCCGCTGCTGCTCTGATGGCTGGGTGGGATCTGCATGGGAGACAACTTCGAAGGGGCAGCACCCAGGGGTGAGTGACAGGGAAGCTTCCACCCTCCTGGGTAAATTACAGCTCTCCCACCCCCTGCCACCACTCCAGTATCTCCTCCAGGCAGTTTCACACCCCAGCTAGGAGCCCCTTCCATCCAGCTGTGGGTCACAGCCTGGCCCCGGGGGTATCCAGCCTGGGGGAGGACAAGTTACCTGCTCGGGGTGGGGGTGTTGTCGTCCTGGGTGTAGCTGCAGAGGAGGAAAAGGAGAGCTGGGCTTAGACACTGGGTGTGTGGGTATCAGGAAACCTCCCCCAACACACCGTGTGTGTGTGTGTGTGTGTGTGTGTGTGTGTCTAGATGTCCCTGACACATCCAACCCAAATTGCCCCTCCTGTAGTGCCAGAAAGGGAGGCCGGGCAGAGCCCAGCACCTCTGCTCTGGGAGGCAGGCAGGATGGCAGAGGCAGCCCAGGGGATAGCCCTGGGGCTGCAGGGCCCCACGGGCAGTGGCCAGAGCACGGCCAGTTACACCGAGGCTGCTCCCTGCCTGGCACCGGGCTCCTGCACTCCACAGGAACGTTCTTTCTCTCGGGAGGTCGGGGTCCATGCCAGGACGTGGACAAAAGGCCTTCCCTAGCTCCCTGCCAATACCCGAGCAAGGGCTCCCAGCCCTGCCACTCACCTGAGCAGCGCACGGCAGCATCTTCCTTGTGCCGGCAAGCCCCGCTGTCCCCGGGCCGGGCCCAGCAGTCCTGCAGGGATGGCTCCGTCCCCCGGCACTCCACCTGCTCCAGCCAGATGGGGCCCGTCCCCATCCCAAATGCAGCCTCATGCAGGGCAGACACGGGCCACAGCCCAGCTGCCTGCACGCCACCTCGGCATCCTGCATGTCCCACGAGTCGTCGCACACCGTCCCCCAGGAGCCACGGTGCCAGACCTCCACTCTGCCCGAGCACCCGTCCTTGCCTCCCACGGCACGAATCTTCTCCCTGGCTGGAGAAGGTAAGACCTCCCATGGCACCGGGAGAGCAGGCAGAGCCCTGCCAGACACAGAGGGGAGCTCCCTACCTGTGCAGCTCGTGGAGTTGGGGCACGGGCCAGCGGGTGGGGCATTTCTGGCTGTCCCCCTGAAGAAGGAAACACTGTGGTGAAGGGGCTGGTTTGGGGGATCATGCAGAAGAGAGGGGGCTGAGCTCTGCTCGGGCCTCCCTGCACCATCTGGGGCACGGCAGCAACTGAACCCCAGTCATCCATGGGACACGTGCAGGACTGTGGGGGGACCCTGATTGCTCAGCCCCAGAAGGTCCCTGGCTCACAGAGCAGCAGTAGCTTGTCTATGGAGGGGAGGCTCTTCTGAAGCCTGTCGGGTCTCTTCTGAGACCTCACCTGGAGATGCCTCTGCTTCCCCAGGCACTGCTGGCAACCTGGTGGCAACTGCTGCTGGATGTGTGGCCGCGGTCAGTTTGTGCCACTGGCAGCACAAGGGTCTGGCATGGAAAGTAAAAGCCTCTCCAAGCTCTTTCTCTGTGTTTGGCCATGCCCCGTGGGGAGCAGGAGCTGGGGTGACACTGGTGCTGGGTGCCTCAGAGTTACCATTGCAGGTGATGTGGATCTCCTCTTCCAGGTATTCACATGACTGTGGTTCCAGGGTGTGGAGGGACACTGCCAGAAAGAGCTGTTTGTCTCCCCACACTGCACGCGATCCAGCCAGGCAGGGCCAGACACCCTGCCAGAGGGCAGGCGTGTTTCCAGGGATCCTCCGTCCCCGCAGCCCAGCTCCTTGCACGCCAGTGTCACCGTGTTGTCAGTGATGGAGTTAGAGCAAATGCTCCCCCATGTCCCGTTGTAGAAAACCTGCAGGCGCCCGGAGCAGCCGTCGCTGTTCTCCAGCCTCAGGGCCACGAACTCTGGGAAGAAAAGGCCCCAAAGCGGGAACAGGCTGATCTGGGGCTGTGGGAGCCAGGACACCTCTGCACCCCCCAGGCCCTCAGCCGGGCAGGGGCAAGGCCACCACATCCCCCTTGCACCCAGGGGCAGAGAGAAGTCCCGGATTTACAGCCACCCTGCCCTTCCCGCGAACCCTGGGGACAGCTGAGCTCCCCAGGGACCCCCCGTGGGACTGAGGGTGTCCGTGCATGGGTGGGCCTGGGCAGGAGCTCAGAGGCAGCCAGGGGCAGCCTTGGCCATGGCCGGCTCTCCCCGCGTCCTGCCCTCCCCGGGACCAGGCTCCCACCACAGCTCCTGAGGTGGCACAGACCTGAGCAGATGACTCCCGCATCCTCTTTGTGCCCGCAGTCGTGCTGCCCCCAGGGCCCAGCCGGGCAGTCCCAGAGAGCAGCTTCGGCCCCGGAGCAGTTCACACCATCCAGCCAGATCTGCCCGGAGCCTTCCCCGAACGAGCGGAGCCGGCTGCCTCCACTGCCTCTCCGCAGCCCAGCTGGTGGCAAACGACGGCGGCATCAGACAGGTCCCAGCCGTCGTCGCAGACAGTCCCCCAGATGCCCTGGGAGTAGATCTCCACTCTCCCCGCACAGCGCCCGGCCCCGTTCACCAGCCGGACCCGCCGGCTCCCTGCAGCGGGTGGAAACCCCAGTCGCTGTCAGGGCCTGCCCCTGCGCAGACCGTCACCTGGGCGCCTGGGCAGTGCCACTCACCCCAGCAAATGACTCCCACGTCCTCCGCAAGCCCTGCCGCCAGCGCACTGCTGGGCAGGGAGGTGTTGCAGAGGGTCAGCTTGGCCTCGTGCCCTGCACACCGGACCCCTCGCAGCCCCACGGGGCCCGTCCCTCGCTCAGGCTTTGGGGGGTTGTAGGCTGTCCCTGCCTCTCCGCACGCAGCTGCCGGCACACCACGCTGGCCTCCTGCACGTCCCACTGCTCATCCAGGACTCTGCCCCACCCCATCCTGGAAGATCTCCACTCGTCCGTCGCACCGGCTCCCTCCGCCCACCAGCCGCAGGGATCCAAAGCCGGCTGGGCCTGGGGAGAGCAGAGATGCCACGGCCATCGGCGGCACCGGGAGCATGGCACCCTGCAGGGAGCAGGGCGAGGGGGGATTTTCAACCAAACGGGACAAGGTGGAGCCTTGTGCTGACGAGAAGAGGGCAAAGCCTGGGCCCTCTCTGCAGCTCACAGCCAGGTCAGCTGCTGCTGGGGGCACCAGCTCCTGCCTGGGTGGGGGATGAGGCTCTGCAGGGCTCTCTGTGGGGACGGGATGCGGTCGGCTGCAGCCAGAGGGATGGAGCAGAGCCCTGCAGCCCTGTCCTGGGCTCGCTGCACAGTACGAGGACAGAGGAGCCGGGCCTGGCGGTGGTGCTGGGGCCTAAGCCACTGCCCTGGGGGCAGATGCCTGCCTCCGTTCAGTCCTCAGCTCTCCCAAAGTCGAGCGGTCAGTCTGAGCAGGGAAAGCCCTCCAGACGGTTCCTGGGGAAGCCAGGGTTTCCCCAAGGAGAAATTCAGCCTGATACGGCCATGGAACCCCTGCTTTTAGTGGCTATGTTGCACACAAGTGACAAATGGAGTTCATGCAGCATTTTTCCAGCACTCACCTGAGCAAATGACAGCAGCAGCGTTCCCTTGGGAGCACGGCGAGGCCCCAGGTGGTCACTGGGCACTGTTGCAGGAGAGCTTCAGTCCCGTCACAGTGGAATGAGTCTCCCAGACAGGGCCAGTCTCTCTCCCAAAATGTTCTCCTCCAGGAATGGACTCAGCAAACCCGCAGTTGAGTTGATGACAGAGAACGTGGGCATCCGAGAGTCCCAGGGAGGCACAGAGGGTCCCCCAGGTCCCCAGCACCTGGACCTCCACCCTCCCGCACACACTGTGCTGCCGTTCACCAGTCTGATCCCTGTGTACTCTGGGGACAGAGGCGGAGAAAAGAGAGTGGATTGGTGCTCCTGTACCCTCAGTAGCTGGTGGAGGGCCAGAGGGACACATGTCTTTGTTCTCCTTCTGCAGTATTGTCATGCTGCAAACAAACCCATCAACCCCTCCTGTCCTCACACCCGGCCCAGCACGGTCCCTGCTCTGTTCCCCAACCCCTACCACACCCCGGTGTTCAACAGCCCACCCTGAGTCCTTACCTGTGCAGTTCACACAGCGCTGTTTGCGTGGGTGCAGGGCTGGTCCCGGGGGGACCCCTGGGGCAGGAGGCGAGGAGGGATTCATTCCCCACACACCGCAGCTCTCCATCCCACATGGGACCCACCCCTTCTCCAACGTGACTTCCTCCAGCGACAGGCAGGGCTGCGCCGCACTGCAACTCCCTGCAGAGCACGTCAGCAGCCTTGGGACCAAAGTGGGAATCACAGACACTTTTCCACAGGTCCCGTCATGGATCTCCACACGTCCTGAGCAGCGGTTCTTCCCTTCCACCAGACGGAAAAATCCTGGAAATAAATCAACTGGGAGTTCCCAGATCTTGGTGGCATTCCCATGCCCACATCCCAACCACCTCCACAAACTGTGACCAAAATGCTCACTGCACATCTCAGAAGAAGCTATTTAAGGAGTGATGGTGTCACAAAGGCACCATGTCAAGTTACACACATTCTCCATCATCACAGCACTCAGGGGGGTGTGTCTATTGCAGACCCACAGCAGAGTCTGCAAACCACGTTGGCACCGTTGGGACCAAAGTGTGAGTCACAACCGCTGTCCAAAGGCCTCATCATGGATCACTATACGTCCTCAGGAGGACCGGTGCCCTTAGAGCAGCCGGACAGATTCTGGACCAACCAATGACCCTGAGAGTTCCCACAGCCTCTGGCAATACCCTGACTACATGCCAGCTGATCTCCAAGGTGGCCACAGGCAAAAAAAATCTACGATCCCCAGCTGCTCTCAGGGGGTGCTGGTGGCACAAACACATCAGCCAATGGTCCTGTGTCTGCTAAGGGGGACAACCGAAAAGTAGCTCCCCATCTCACGCCCTTCCACAGGACGGTGGGTGGCCACAGGAGTCACTTCTGGTGCCTCTGGCATGGGGGCAGCTGGCCCTGCAGCACTGCCAGACAGCTCCTGGGTGAACAGGAGGAGAAAGATGGCAATCAACAGACCATGCAGGGCAGGGATGGAGGGTTCATCTGCAGCTCAGGGACCAGGCACAGTAAGGCACCCTTGGGCAGGTTCCCACTGGCTTTCCCCAGGGACTGGGGACACCAGTAATGACAGTTCCAGCTCAGCAGTGCGACTGGCCACACTGGGCAATGCTCCGTGCCTGACTGTTGCTCCTGAGGGCAAGCAGGTTCTTCCACAATCTGAGCCCCAGAGGTATGGAATAGGTTGTCTCTTACCTGAACACACCACTCCAGCATCCTCAAATGCTCACAGTCATGTTCACCCCATCCTCGTGTGTGCAGTCAGACAGGGCAGATTCGGTGCCATTACAGCCAACATCATCCATCCAAATGGGGCCAGATCCTGGCCCAAAGTGTCCGTACTGAGGAGCTCCAACAGCAGACCCACAGCCCAGCTGTTTACAAACCACTGCTGCATCCTCATGCTCCAGTAGTGACCACACACGGTCCCCCACTTGCCCTGTTGTTTCACCTCCACTCTCCCAGCACAGCGCCTCGCCGTCCGCCAGCCTCACCTCCACAGCACCTTCAAACACAAGAGGAGTCAGGAGCACCAGCCCCAGACATGGGTCTGGGGAAGCCCTGCAGGTGGATCAGAGGCACCAGGGTGGGAGCCCACTCCCCTCCAGGCTGTCCCCAGGGCATTCAGGGGTCCCTTCTATCCTCATGGGCTGTGCAAGGGGGTGCCCAGCTCCAGCCTGCTGGGTCATTTGTGGCACCACACTTTGGCACTTCCTTCCACTCCAACAGCCCCTCGCCCCTGTCTGTGCCCACCCAGGGCTCCTGCTCCTCCCCAGACAGCTGAAAAGGGACCTGTCCCCACCAGGGCTCCCCCAGGATCACACGGCTACTCCTCCCCAGAGCCCCCAGCTCCCCTGGACCACAGCCTGCCCTGGGCCCCTCCCAACTCACCCTCCTCCCTCAGGACTTTCCGTGTCCCCTGTGGAGCAGAATGATGGTCCCAGTGAGGCCTCCCAACCCATGCCCCTCCTTGTCCTTGGGCATCAGCCCAGACCTGACCTTGTCTGGGATCCCGCAGGAAGGTCACCCCTTTGCGAGCCTCTGGGAACAGATACCCCAGTTCCCTTGTCTCCACAAGCACAACCCACCCCCGGTCAGGCCGGGATCACTCTGACTGGGACAAGAGTGAAGATCCCACACCCTTCCCGGGTACCCCGGAGGCTGGCTGTGCCTCTGGGATGACAGAACAAAGAGCCACCAGTTAAGGCACCACCAGCTCACAGGGAACAGAGCTGGCAGAGCCAGGGCCCCAGGGACGGTGCCCAAGGATGGCAAATCCACACCGGGTACCAACGGCCAGAAACGTGGGAGCCCTGGAAGCAGAAAAGCCCTTCTGCACGCAGAGAAGCACAGGCTCAGTGAACCTGTTCACTTTCTAGCCCTTGTCACATCGACACATGGGAAGAAGCCCCATTTCCAGAGGGATCCCTGTGCTGCTCCTTGGCCCCAGGGCTTTGTGGCAGGGCAGCAGGCATTTCCCCCTGCACAACTGCACCCAGAGGAGCAGCTACAGTAACTAAGGGGACAGAGGGACTCTGTCCCCATCTGGAACCTTTCGGCAGCCGTGCACCAAATGCAGGAGGATGGAACAGAAGCGAGACATTGGCTTCTGCATCTTTTCCTGCGTAACTGCAGACTGCAGGAGACAACATCACCCCTCCTGTTCTCAGGCCAAGGCCAGCACAGTCCCTGCCCTCCTCCCCTGCCCCCGGCACAGCCCAGGTGTTCAACAGCCCACCCTGAGTCCTTACCTGTGCAGTTCACACAGCGCTGTTTGCTTGGGTGCAGGGCTGGTCCCGGGGGGACCCCCTGGGGCAGGAGGCGAGGAGGGATTCATTCCCCACACACCGCAGCTCTCCATCCCACATGGGACCCACCCCTTCTCCAACGTGACTTCCTCCAGCGACAGGCAGGGCTGCGCCGCACTGCAACTCCCTGCAGAGCACGTCAGCAGCTTTGGGACCAAAGTGGGAATCACAGACACTTTTCCACAGGTCCTCGTCATGGATCTCCACACGTCCTGAGCAGCGGCTCTTCCCTTCCACTAGCCGGAAAAATTCTGGAAAAAAATAAAAAGAAATCAACTGGGAGTTCCCAGAGCCCTGTGGCATTCCAATGTCCACATCCCACACCACCTCTAAGCAAGCTGTGACCAAAATCACTCACTGCACATCTCAGAAGAAGCTGGGGCATTGTTGGTGTCACAAACACATCCAGGCCCCCCTGCACCCCTTCTCTACACTATCAGAAGATCCAAAGATATGTGTCTGTCACAGCACCAGACACTACTCAGACAAACTGCTGCTGCACAAGGTGCCCTGTGCTTCCTGGCATGGTCCCCCCAGCACCAGTGGTGTGCGCAGTTTGGGTCCAAGGCCAAGGGCTGTGTGCCACCCTGCTCCTCTGTCCAGGCACAGCACTCGTGCTCCCTGAAAAGTACTCATGCCTGTGATGGGAATGACCCACGGGGACCAGCTACCTCATGCTGTTCCTCCATTGTGTGATGTTCCAAGTAAGACCTGCCCTGCTTTCTCCAGCACAGGGTCCTCAGCACTGTTGCTGGGAACTGGCAGACTGAGTGGAGTCCAGTGGATACCAGTGGACACACTGGGGCAGGGACAGAGTGTTCATTTGCAGCCTAAGACACTGGCTGAAGAGGGGCTGAGACACTGTGGCAGGGTTAGTTCACCCTGGGGTAGGCTCACTCTGGGCTTTCCCCAGGCACTGGGGTCACCAGTAATGACAGTCCCAGCTCGGCAGTGTGACTGGCCACATTGAGCAGTGCTCCAGTGTCCGCGCGTTGCTCCCTGAGGGCACAGCCAGATCCTTTCCACATCCCAGCCCCAGAGGTGGAATAGGTTGTCCCCTTACCTGAACACACCACTCCAGCATCAAGGGATGACCACAGTTATGTTCACCCCATCCTCTGCGTGTGCAGTCAGACAGGGCAGATTCGGTGCCATTACAGCCAACATCATCCATCCAAATGGGGCCAGATCCTGGCCCAAAGTGTCCGTACTGAGGAGCTCCAACAGCAGACCCGCAGTCCAGCTGTTTACAAACCACTGCGCATTCTTCATGCTCCAGTAGTCACCACACACGGTCCCCCACTTGCCCTGATGTTTCACCTCCACTCTCCCAGCACAGCGCCTGCCACCGTCTGCCAGCCTCACCTCCACAGCACCTTCAAACACCAAGATGGTATGGGTCAGGACAGCGCTAAGCCCCAGACTGTGCGTCTGGGGGAGCCCCCTGCCAAGGTAGAGTCAGAGGCACCAGGGTGGGAGCCCACTCCCCTCCAGGCTGTCCCCAGGCAGTTCAGGGGTCCCTTCTATCCTCATGGGCTGTGCAAGGCTGGGGGTGCCCAGCTCCAGCCCTGCTGGGTCATTCGCCATCCCACCACACAAGGCACCTTTTCCCACCCCAGTGACCACCTGCCTCCTGCCCATGCCCACCCGCACACTGCCCAGCCCTGCACTGGACACCTGCTCCTCCCCAGCACCACACTGAACAGCCCCGTGTACCCAGGCCTGCAGCTTCCCATACAACTGCCTGCCCCAGCACCAGCCAAACCCACCCCCATGCCCAGGGCTTTCCGTGTTCCCACTGAGACGATCCAGAGGATCCCCCCACCCACATCCCCTTCACATCCCTGGTGTCAGCCCAGTCCCTGCACTGGGCTGGGTCCCCCAGGAAGGGTGTCTCTCTGCTGTAGATGCCCTGGTCCCCATCTCTCCGTGGGGTACAAACTGTCTTCATGGGGTCAGGGCTCCCCTGGAACAAGGGGACAGTGAACAGCACAATATCCCTTCGGGACACGAGACATTAGCAGTGTCCCAGGGAGATCTCTGGGTGCTGCCATCACCA